TTCTAGGCAAGTCTCAGAAATTACCCAGATACAATCGTTTCTTACAAACTAACCCCTACTTTTTTTTTATTACCATGTCAAACCCAAAATGGAGCATAACACGCTCTGTTTCAAAATTAAGCAATGTTGTTTATGTACTTATGGTCATGTACTGCATCTACAGCTTGTAAACCATGGAGTAGATCCAAGTTTGTTGGACAAATTTAAGTTGGAGATGCAAGATTTCTTCAACCTTCCAATGGAAGAAAAGAAGAAGCTGTGGCAGAAACCAAATGAGCTTGAAGGTTTTGGACAAATTTTTGTGGTTTCAGAAGATCAGAAACTCGACTGGGCAGATTTGTTCTTCACTGTAGTGCAACCTGTTGAATCACGCAAGCCCCATTTGCTCCCCAAGCTACCTCTTCCCTTCAGGTTTTTGTATCAAAATCTGTTTTAACTTAAAATATCTTCTTTCTCTTTAAGCAGTGATTTCAAATCTCGAGTTTAATCGTACTTAAATTCGGGTCTTGTGTTCCATTAGAGATACATTGGAGAAGTATTCTGTTGAAGTGCAGAGCATAGCTAAGATTTTAGTAGCGAATATGGCCAGAGCCCTAGAGGTCAAACCAGAGGAAATGGAAAAGTTTTTCAATGATGTTGATTCGGTCCAAAGTATGAGGATGAATTACTACCCGCCGTGTCCACAACCCGATCAGGTTATCGGTCTAACTCCGCATTCGGATTCCGTTGGACTCACCATACTAATGCAAGTGAATGAAGTTGAAGGTCTCCAAATCAAGAAAGATGGGAAATGGGTACCTGTTAAACCTCTCCCAAATGCTTTCATTGTCAACATTGGCGACATCTTAGAGGTAAAACTATATCAAATCCATATGGTAATAAATCGTTTTGTAAATGGTACTAATGATGGTTTTTTCGGTAGATCATTACGAATGGGACATACCGAAGCATCGAGCATCGAGGAGTTGTGAATTCAGAGAAAGAGAGACTATCTATTGCGACGTTTCACAGTCCGGGAATATATAAAGAAATTGGTCCCGCGAAAAGCATCGTCGAAAGGCAAGAGGTTGCAAATTTCAAAAGGCTGACCATGAAAGAGTACAAGGATGGTTTGTTCTCTCGTAAGCTCGACGGAAAAGCTTATCTTGATGCCTTGAGAATCTAAAAGAAGTAATGCCTTGTAACCCAAGAAAGCATGTCATATTTGTTTCTACTCTGTTTCTCCTCTGTTTTTCTTGATCTTTGTGATAAGCATTCTCTCTCTCTATTCGCTTATAATCTGTTAAAGACGACAAATCTCCAGTGGAGAATGCTTTGACATATTGCTATAATAAGACAATAAGCTTGTACGTTTTGGTTTCTCAACGCTCAAAGCTTTTATCTAAAAAATAATTATCACATGATTCACACACACGCACTTTGTTATCTTATAGGTCGAGGGTTTATCGCAAAATCTCCAATTTCAATTTAGTAACTTTTTTGTGTTTTTTTAGCGTGTGCTGTTAGAAAATATATCTAAACACGATTCTTTAGATAAGTTAAGAAATTAGCTTAACGTTAGTGTTACACTTTAAATTTTGTAATTAAATTACAATAACAATAAACTTAGCTATTAAATTGTAGAAATTAATTGTTAAAATTATTAAAACACTTATTTTTTTTTTCAATAAATAAATTAAAAAGACATATGTCAAAATAATAAGTGGCACATGGTATCCTCTCATAACTTGGGTTTAGACAAATCTTAAAATATTA